AAAATTTTATCTAATCAGTTGGCAAGTGTTCTCAATTCAAAAGCTAAAAATCTTATAATTTATTTATTTATTTTATTTTATATGTAAGTAATTTAATTTATGTATACTTTAATTTTTTATTTAATTTATGTGCTCAATGTTAAATGAATGCGGTAATGAAATGTAAATTTAATACATGAATAAATAAATAAGTCTGAGAATTTATTAATGTAATTATATATATATATATGTATATATATATGATATTTTTATATGCGAAAATAAAATATTAAAATAAGCTTTATATAAGTATAACAATAATTATTCCTCAGACACCTAAATGCCGGCTATCTGATACGAGAATAATTAAAATTAAAATCAATCGAAACCGATTTAGACAGTTTTCGCTTCTATGCGCAATATTTTATAGTTAATAAAAGTTTTATTTAAATTTATATAACAATAATAATAATAATCCTAATTAAACTTTATCTTCATCAACTTGAGCTAGGAAGTAAAATATGTACAAAAAGAATTAATAACCTAACATTAATAAACTAACAACTACAAAATATGCAAAAAACCGAGGTAATAACAAATTTATAAAACTTAAGTTTTCTTAAACTAGACTTAAAATTTATATATAATTAAAGAAGCATTCTAATATCCAAAGGAAATGAGAACACCATCATAACGTAAAAAATAATATTCAAGATTGTCACATAATAGTAATATTAAAAGTAAAAGCATATAAAGACTAGAAACAGAATAGACTCAAACGAATCATGACATAATCACCAAATAGAATCATCAAAAGTTGAACAATTAAATAACCGTGGAGGCGTTGATAAATATAAATGATCAAAAATGGGGCTTATAACTTCTAGATACGAATAGAGAATGACTAGAATTAACACGTAAGTTGAAGTTTACATAAGTTTTAGGGGAAATATTACCGGAAGTCCTTAAAAAACATTATCAATATGTAAAAGCGTAAAGGAAGTCGGCTAAGTTGTTTAAATAAGTAAAAGCAAGGCGTACGTCTATACTAGACTTGCATATTAAACGAACAGCATGTTTTTGTAAAATTAATAAGTGTCGCAGTTTACTAAAATATGTTCCACCCCAGCGACACATACCATATTCAACTTAGACTTAAAAAAGCTATTGTAAACTGAAGTCAGAATCGAACGAGGACAATAAAATTTAAGTGACATAATTGATGAATAACTTTGTTCAAGTATAGCATTTCAAAATTGTAATTTAAAAATAGACCTCGAAACCAAAATTCGACTTAAATATTTAAAAATAACTAAACACTCAATAACAAAACAATTACTTACAGAATCAGTATCGACATGTTACATTTACTTATTAGTCTTGAACAAATTCTTGAATGATATCGTAGTATCAAATTGAAGAAAGAAGATTCTGAAAAACATATTATTTGTTTTACAACTAATTACAAATCTCATCTACTATAACCTACGCCTAAGTATGTCCAAATCATAATTTATAACAGCATTTATATGAATTTTAAATAAAATTCTACTCATATATGAGAGAGCGGCATCATCAGCAAAAGCTATTTTTTCTACCCATAAACTTCTGTTCAAAAAGTGAATTTAGATTTATTAAAAATAAATTTGGTCCTAGTACAGTCCCTTGCGAAACAATTCTATATTAAATATTTGTGGCGAACTATAGTAACATTTATTATCTATTTCAACTATCTGTATACGGTTTTTTAGTTAAGACCGAAACCAGTTATGAACAGAGTTTCTAACATCAAAAATATTAATTATAATAATATAAAAATCACTATAAATGGTTATATTTTTAGTTGTATAGTACGACAAATTAAATTATTTTATAGTAATATAAAAAAAAGTTGCTAAGTCAGTATCTTTAACCTGATGCTGAATTAATAAATTTTATTCTATCTATATTAATTAGGTGTAGGTACCTATACATTTGACATTTTATTAGCAATTCGAAACAAAAGTTTTTAAAACTTGCAATTAAATTATCATTAAATAATTTTGTAAACGCAAAAAATTTTCTATTGTATAAAAATATAAACTTGTAATAAATTACATACAAACAAAATTATTTACAAAAAATTATCATTTTATTAAGACTAAAATTTAATTTGCAACTTTGTTATCAAAAAATTTTATATAGTCACAATTTAAAAATATTCAGAAAAAGCTGATTCACTTACATCACATACTATAGAATTTTTGCATTAGCTAATTTATTAATTAATCGAGGCCGGCGCGCATCTAACAAAAAAAAAAATAAACTTTGAATTTTTTCTACATTTGGTCGATTTAATAAAGAAGATTAAATCAAACTTTAACAAGTACAAACTGAACATTTTGCATTTATGTGTGAAATTTAAACAATTTTACAAATGTATAGCGGTGCTTATGTAGATAAATACAGAAAAGTCAAGTAATTACGAATAAGAGTTTTCTCGCCTTTTATAATTTTTTCCACTACAAAAACAATCTCAATACAAAACGATAAGAAGAGGTAAGTGGACAAAGGAGTTAACTAACAATTTGACGAAAATTGAGCTTTTCGGATAGAACATCATTAAATTTCATATATTTTCAACTGTGATTTCTCTTATAGCTAGAAAGTTAATAGAAAACGAGATTGGCAGTTCACATAGGAGATAAGTAACAAAAAATAATTAGAAATTAATAGTTTCACAATTTGTTAATGAAAATATGTGTCACAATGCAAATGTAAGTTAACCCCTTAAACAAAATTCTCTCAAAAAATAATAACAACTCTTATAATACTTCAGTAATCAGATTCAAACTCTAAAAGTCAACACTTTACTGTTTCATAAGAAATTTGATTATGAAAATTTTAAATAATTTGTAAAATAAAAAATTTTTCCCTTAGCTTCTATAGTTTTCTTATTTAAATTCAATTAATATTGCTTACATAATTGATTAAAACAATAAAAGGAAAAAAGATCGTGATTTCTAATTATTCAAATTATTGTTTAAAAATAATTTTGAGTTATAAGAATGATAGAACAAAAATCTAAAATTAATTTAAAGCTTCAGTTAAATTAAAAATTAATTAAAGTTTTTAAAAAGCTAATTTCATTGGCGTACACTTATTGCAATTTTATGTTCCCATTATTTTTCTAGAATTGACATTTTCATATGATTCAATGGTATATCAAATGATTCACACAATCTGTCAAAAAATGACAATTGTAACATAATTAGAGAATTTTAAAGAGAATTTCTTTCAGCAAAAAAAACATCACAAAAGACAGTGTTTTTAATTCGATTTAAGGGTCTTTATACAATAAATAAACTGTAAACAAAAAGAACCTAGCTGTATAATAGAACAGCGGTATTTATTTTATTATACGTCAATAATTTTCTTATACAAAATATTTTTAACTCACCTGAAAAATCTACTTTTGTGGTCAAATTGTCTTTCAAAATAACCAATTTAATTACAATCAATTAACAATATAAATAAAATTTTTATAATTCATTCTTTTTTTTATTCTTACAGCACGTTATGTTAAATTTTCAATTTCACTTTTATTAAAATGTTAACATAACAGCAAAAAAAAAAAAAGATTAAAAAAAAAGACGTCATTTTTTTGACCACACGAACCACACGATTCTTTTCTTGTTCTTTTTGGTTTTTGAAATTTTACAATACAAAAAAAAATTTTTTGTACTAAATTTTAGTACTAAAATTACACATATTTAAGTTATTTAGTGTTCCAATTGACTTTCTCGCTTTTTAATATTGTTTTTAAGTTCTCTTTGTTAAACAAAAAACAATTATTCCTTATACAAAAAGTACTGTACAAATTTTTTCGGTTAATTGACAAAAATTTTATTAATGGCAAAATTTGCTCAAATTTTTCATTTTGAAAAAATTTAGGCCATTACATTCCCTCTATTTGTTCGAAAAAAGTTTTTGACAAGCTATTGTTTCCAAACCAAGAGCATTTAAATCATAAGAAGCTAGACTTTCAATTTAAAATGTCAGACTTTCAAATGAATTGTTATCTAAAATCAATTTTCTCCTAATTTTGAAAATAATTCTCCTCCAGCAAGAAAGCTTGAAATAATATCAAATTTGTAAATGCCATAATATCATCCTTTAATATAATAATATCGCCCTTTCGTACTTCTATAATAACGGTAATGAATGGAACCTCTCTATTATCCGAAGATATACCATTATTCTTTAATTAAATTTATTAGTAATGCAATTCAAGCTAATTAGCTAATACTATCTAATTTTTATGTAAATTATAATTTAAATATTGATCCTAAATATATGCAAATTTTTTGTGATTACTAGGAAATTTTTTCGTCCGATTAATTTATACTATACATATCGGCTTTAGACTATAAATGAACAAGCTCCGGTTTTGAAATGAAATTACAGTGCATCCAGATCAATTTTTGCACATTTTAAACTTAAGGAAATTTTACTAAAAATCCCGTGGATTTTAAATACTAATACAAAATTAAGAATTTCCGATATCACTTTAATATGAACGAATTAATTAAAAATTTCAGTAAAAGTACATATGTGCATTCTATATAATAATAATTTCACTATATCTAACTTTCATAGCGCTTGATAAGAACGTTGCTTTTACAAGTTAATAAGTCAGTAAATTAAAATTTTTGGTATTACAAAATGAAAAAGAAATTTAACATATACATATTAATTTATTTAATATTTAAAATATCCCCAATTGTCCAACAACAGTGAAATGAAATGATTAAGCTCTCCAAAGAAATTCTCCCTTTGCTGTTATGCTTACTTTTCTTTTTATATAAATTTTTTACATGAATGCTAGTATTTTTGTTCTCCTGTTTGTGTATTGTATACTAAAATGCTGTTTGTTTGTCGACTAAGTAAGAAGTCTCGCTATAATATTTTACACCCATATAATGAGAGATTAATTTCCCTATTTTATTTTTTAAAGAAAAACACTTTTAATTTAGTCTCATTCTATCGCTCCAGAGTGAAGGTAGTTTGAACATATTCAATTTTTTTAAATAAAAATTTATTTATAAAAATTATAATTACATACACATATTGCAAGGTTATTAAATTGCTATTTAATTAAATAATTAAAAAAATGGCTTGTAAAAAATTCCTTACTCTCAATAATGGCTTAAAAATGCCAAGCATTGGAATCGGAACTTGGATGGTAAGAAGAAATATTTAATTAACTATATAACTATGTATATAATAATAAATATTATAAAATTTGATAGTCATTATGGGTTTTTTTTTGTAAAAAACAAAAATATTAAATTGTACGCAAAGATTCGCCGAATTACAACCGGTTTATTTTTGGGGAATTTTTTTAAATCTTAATTAAACTGAAGTGTTTAGTCAAAGAACAAAAAAAATTTAAATAAGTGATACATAAGTCATAAAGCTGAAGATCAAGGAAATATAAAAAGAAAAAAATAATTTTTTATCAATTGTTGTCATAAAAATTAAATATGAAAGTTTTAATGTTTGTATGAACAGTTTGGGTTTTTGGTTAAGATTTAATGAAAATTTAAACAGATTTTATGAATTACAAAATAATAATTCAAAAAAAATATCATACTTTAATGGTAAATTCACGGAACTTGAAATAATCAGCACGAATTTTATAATATAAAGTAAACGGCAATCATAATATTTCAGAAAGAGTTGCTCATTAATTGTTGTAGGTCGAAAGATTTTGAAAATATCATTAACTTACTTAAAATTTTGCAATAAATTGTTCCTACATTAGAACCTGGACTAATGAATTCTGATTTATTTAATCATTAAATAATAATCACTATGTAATGAATTTCTGAAGGTCAAATAAGCATAATTATATTTTTAGTTTCATTGCTTATTCCTGAACATATTTCTTTAGACTCTTGTTAATATACATAGATTGATTATTATAATTTATATAGATAATGTACATTGTTACTATAGATTTAGCATTATTGTATATGTATGTATGTAAATTTAAAAGAACTTTAGCAATATACTTAGTTTGAGAAAATAAATCTATTACAAATTCTTTATTATTTTATTCTAATAAATAATTAATATTGAAATATTATATGTATGTACTTATTTTAAAATGTTACAAATCGGGTATAATAAGTAGGTGTTGTATATATGTATATGCACTTTGTATAAAAGATTTTTACATATCGGGTAAACTGTAGTCAAATGTATATATGTCAAATAAATGTACATATATGTTATAAATTGAATGCTATTAAATGCTATAATATGTACTCCAAACCTATACACACAATGTATATTATGGTATAAATGTGTATATAGATATATATATGTATGTAAATAAATAATTGAATGCGGTATCAAATTCTATTTGATTATCTTTTCATTTTCGAATTAAATTACAAATAATTATTTAATTATCTTAATAGATTTTTTTATTCAATTTTAAAAATTTTGGAAAATCATTCAGCTAGCTCGTCGAATTATTCTTGCTATTTTGACAATTTTCGTCCACTGTCTCATTTTGTAATATCCGAAGACTATTATGAAGTATACTTAGTTTTTAATGTATACTTATTTATTGTTTATTGAAAAACCAAAAATAAGTTGTAATAATTGAGCTTTAATATCAACATTTTCCCGTATTTCATCTTTTTATTAAAACTGAAAATCTACTTATTGCATAAGAATTTTAATTGCAGCTCATGCTGTATGTGTGTATAATTAATTACAGCTCATATATATACATATGTATTATGTATAAATAGAAATGCAACTGAATTTACACATTACAGATTCTTACACTATAGGTTTATATTTTTAAAGCCCCGTAACTACCATTCTTCAATGGACCCACAATTGAATTTACACATAGCTGATTCTTACACAATAGGTTTATATTTTTGACATGCCCCCGTAACTAACACTTTTCTAACAATAAATTTTGTTTCTGCAATGGGTTGAGCGTTAATTAAATGTTTCAAAATCGATACACGGATTATATATTTTTATATTGATATCTAAATCAATATTAATAAAGTTTCATAGCTTTTAATACTAGTTATTAATGTTCTATTTACGAATGTCGGATACACAAATATGACATTGTATCTATACATAAATGCTATTTCAATGGTACCCATTTGGATCTAAAATAAAAAGAATTTATTAATTTTATGTCATGACAAATTCTAATATCGATTCACGACATTAATACTATAAAAACATAATTTTTTTTTCATGAAATTATTTTTTTTTAATTAATATTAATTTTCTAGTTATATGCAATAGAAAATCAATTATTGAAAATTTTAATATTCATTTGACTGGACATCAAACGTATAAGTAGATTTTATTCTAATATCTTGCAATTATCTACAATTTATTTAAATATAATTTTAATGGGTGTATGTATAGTAAAATATGAAGGGAAAAATGTATATGTGTGTATGTACACATTTTTAAGATTTGTATTAATATAGAATACCGCAGTTATTTGTTATGACATTCTTAATGACATTGCTGCTTTACCAATGTTCATTTAAATCGCAAAATATTTTGGAAAAATTGAAAATTCATATAAGAGCATTTAAGAATGTTCTTATGAATTTTATACATTTGTATTTGCATATTTGGTAAAGAAAAATTATTGTAACTCAGTAATACATGTTTCAAACAATTTATTTGAAACACAACTTTTGAATAGTATTAATTAAATTTTCATCATAAATGCACAAATTTAACAAATCATTTTATTGAATCATTGGATGTACATACATATGTACATATATAGAATTCGTGAATAAAAATATAAAGTTATTTTATTTGTTACCTAATTGAATACAATACTTTTTACGAAGTTTAGAATTACTTATAGCTTTCTATGAAAACCTGTTTTGAAAGTTAAAAATTTTCGTGTTTTCAAAAGAAAATTTGGTAAAGAAAAAATATTTCATGGCAATGATAAATTTTTTGAATAGAAAATGCTTTCTTTTTTGAAATGTGATCAACAGTGAACAGATAATACAATATTATTGTATTTACAAATTTCTCTAACATCTTTTTTCTGAAATAAAATTTTAAATATTCAAAATTACATACATACATACATTATGTATATATGTATTTTGTTTAAAATCAAATTTTTAAAATTTTTAAGATAATAATTTTTCTATCAAAATTGAACCTAATCTATTTCGTAGGCACCAGATCATGAAATTGAAGCCGCCTTAGATTTAGCACTTAAAGTTGGTTATCGTCATATTGATGCTGCACCGGTTTATCTTAATGAAAAAGCTATTGGACGAGTACTAAAAAAATGGTTGGATTCAAATCAAATAAAAAGAGAAGATTTATTTATTACAACAAAATTACCACCACCTGGTAACTAAATTATAATATTTATAAAACTAAAAATTTTAATAAAATCATAAATTGTAAATTTTATATTTTTTTTTTTTCAGCAAATCGTCCAAGTTGTGTTGAAAAAACATTGAGAAATTCATTGAATGATCTTCAATTATCATATGTTGATATGTATCTAATTCATACACCATTTTCTGTACCAGAAACAGGTGGAGATTTTGAGCGTGATGCTAACGGTGACATAGTTATTGATCCAACAACAGATCATATTGAAATTTGGAAAACTATGGAAAAAATGGTTGAATTAGGTTTAACCAAAAGTATAGGAATTTCAAACTTTAATAAAAAACAAATACAAAGATTATTGGATAACTCTAAGACGAAACCGTCAAACTTACAGGTAATTTAATAATATAATCTATTAACATATGTGCATATTACACAAATAGACTTATTTATAAAATTCATTTAAATATTATGTATAAACAACTAAAATGCATGAATCACTAATTGAATCTTATTATTTTCAATTCAAATTTTAGATTGAACTTCATCTTTATTTCCAACAAAATGAACTTGTCGATTTATGTAAAGCAAACAACATTGTTGTAACAGCATATTCACCATTGGGGTCTAGAGGTATTGTAGATTTGAAAAAATCTGCAGGTGTCAAGTAGGTTTCAAGATACAGTAAATTGCACTTTAAACAAAAAAGTGCTTAATTATGAAAGAATTCATTGTTATGAAATTTTTTAATTAAATATTTATTATTTTTAAATTTACAGGTGCGAAAGCATTAACTTAATAGAAAATCCAAAGGTACTTGAAATTGCAGAAAATCATAAAAAAACTCCAGCTCAAATTTTATTACGCTGGATTATTCAAAGAGATGTTTGTGCTATCCCCAAAAGTACAAATCCAGAAAGATTACAACAAAATTTAAATATTTGGGATTTTGAGTTGTCCAATGATGAAATGTCATCTTTATCAAAATTGGATAAAGGTATCAGAGTATGCGATTTTTCATTCTTTAAAGGGTAAGTTTTTCTTGAATAGTATTAATTATAATGAAACTTACTAATGTTATACATACATTTTTATTTTAGAATGGAAAAACATCCAGAATTTCCATGGTAAATATATTTTATAATTGGAATCGGAGTACTTATGTATTTTCAATCAATTGACTTATCAAAAGAAATATTTCCTATTATCATGCAAAAACAGAATATACTTTGTTAATTTGTATTTATGTATTTTGTAAATATTTTTTTTAAATATTTTGCAATATGATTACAAATTTTTGGAAAAATTATATTATGTTTTATTCTAAGTAAACAAGGATGCCAAAAAGTTGTTATGAATTCAACTTATTTTGAATTGTAAATTGATCATCTTCATATTCACAACAGAAACGTTCAGTTTGTTTAAGAAATGTTGAAGGATACCATAGTCCCTTCTAGAGTTTTAACGGGAAGAAATAAATAGTTAAAGGAACAGAGAAGAAATTCTTTAATTTCAGATATAGATAGAAGCAAATGTATGTGTTAGGCACATAATGGCTTATTATAACGAAGAAATTCTTTTAATCTTAAAACTTTTATTCAACAATCTCTTATTTTAATAATTAAAAATTATTTGCATAAACCCATTTTTTATTTTCCTTAATTTCGTTGAGAACCATTACTTTCCTAGCCATAAAAAAGGATTTTGTTCATGAGAAATCCAAGCAATTTCAATATAACTAAAAAATACTTCATTTATGTGCACAAATTAAAAATTTCTTTTTACAATAAATTTCTTTTTTTGTTAGGAGTCATAAAATAATTTTGCAGCATTTAAAAATTTAAACTGCTAATTTTAATAAAATTTTTTCTCTTTAAATAAAAACTACCATTTATTTTAACATTTAAAAAAAAGCAAAATTAACAAAATGTGTACTATATTAATTCGTAAAGCACATTGTGATATGTATGTATGTATTTATGTATGCATATATGTGTACAAAAATATAAAATATGATATTTAAAAAACTAAAAACAATATTATTTTTAAAATATAAATTTATATTCAAATTAGGCCAACGTAAAATTGCATTGTTTATCGAACATATAAGTCACACTTCCAAAATAATTTTCCTCGATCATTAACTTAAAATTGATAATTCATTTATTCAAATGAATGATTTCTCAGATTAAAATAATATTGCTGAGAAATAGGCAGTTAACTATGAATTAATCGATCAAAAAAATTATTTATATAATAAATATTTTTAAACACTTTTATTTGGAGTCTCTGCAACTGATTCAAGATGACCAGAAACTGCACTCCACGGAATTGGATTATTTGGTAAAACAGTAGAAACTGTTTTTCTTACTAACATAACACGAATTGGTGCTTTTGGGTCAATTTCTTCATTTTCTTTCTTCTCAACATAATCACCATCTTCCGCATTTGTAACAATTTTTGCTGACAATTTTCTAATTAATTAAATAATTAATAAAAAAAAAAAATACGAATTAAAATTTCTTAAGATTTTTCTTTATTCAAAAAGCTCATATTAAATGTTATTTTTATATATCGGATGGAAATAACTCTCAAAAACAAAAAAAAAACAATAAAATTAAATAATAAAGTTATTTCTTTCGTATTATTTTAAGGGTTAAAATAAACTTAAATTCTTTTAATTACTAACTTATAATACAAAAATTATTGTAATATAAGAATTATTTTTTATTAATTATTTTTAGTCAATAACTATGGCACAAAGATTACTACCATATCATAATTGAAAACTTAAATTACAAGATATTTTTAAGATGTAGTACTTTTTAATATTTCATACTAATATCTTCTTCACTTCTAAAGAATTGTAAAATAGATAAAAGAAACCTAGTTTTAAGGTTAAATATTAAATATTCAATTTATAAAAATTTGAAAATTTAAAATTAATATCAAAACATAATAGTGAAAAACGAAATTCAGGTAAAAAAATATTCCAATTAATAACAATGTTAAATAATAACCTATAAACAATTAATCAATAATAAAATTTAATATAAAAAATGCAGTTTTTTGCGTTAATTCTTGTAAAATACTGGTCTTTGAGATCTTTTATAATAACAGCTTTTTTGAAAATCTGATGTATGAGTACGAATTTAGAAATGGATATTTTTTTCAGATAGTTAAGTAATATTGATTTGAAACCAGTTCAGAATAACCAATATAATTCATCATCAACAAATGTTGAGTAAATATGACAAATGTAATAATCTTTGTGCTAGCTAAATTAATTTTATTAGTAAAAATATTAGTAATAAATATCTTAGTTTGATTTCAATATAGCAAACTTGAGTTATTCAATTCATACAATACAAATATGCTAAAAACATTTAAGAATGTGTGTCAAATTCTTTACAAATTTATTATTTAAATTCTCTTAATTTAATTTAATTTTTTTTTTTGGCTTAAAACGCTTTTGAAGCTTCGTAATTTGTGTATTTTAAATAAAATATGTATTAAAAAATTCTCCTATTTGCAAATTCAAAACAAAAATTTTTTACAATCATATCTAAGTAAATCACAGTTAAAATACCTGAAGACACATAAAATTCCCTGATCAAATTTTATTTTTCACAGCACAATAATTGCAAACAAAGCATTATCGTAATATAATTTGTACATATGAAAGTATAAGTATTTATTATTAAAATATAAACAAAAAAAATAGCATTAATATCTATACATAATATGTTTTTTTTTTATTGCTAACATAAAGCTATAAAATAATAATTGCATAATTATAAATATGTAGTATATTTTATGTACATATGTGGCAAAAAATTTTACATGAAATTAATGAAATGACTTTATGAGAATACTTCAACATACATAATATGCTCGAAAATCATAATGAAACTAAAATTTCTTGAAGATATAGAAAAATAAAAAATCAATTTCAATATCATGAAAAATTTTTTAAAATTTTATCAAAATGGAAAAATGTTCAAGAGTAAAAAAATTTGTAATAATTCATTACAATTGATTGCCATTATTTTACAACAAATTTTAATTTTCCTTATAAAAACAATTTCAAATAGTCTGAAATAAAATTGAAATTGTACATTTGACACACACTTTACAATATTATCATCAATATTATTCAAAATCGTAATATAAGTACAATTAGCGTAATTGAAGCTGTTATATTTTAACAATTTCAATATTTCATATTCGTTTCAATAATAATTAATATTAAATTTTTTCTTTTTGGTTTTAAAGATTCGAGGTAGATTTTCTAAACCAATATATTAAAAATTATTCTTGTTCAAAAGATGAATGTCTTCTATTTCTGGAAAATAATAGGAGAAAAAAAAAAAATTGCACGTAATTAGTAGATAATTTTTTAAATGTTAATTAAGTATAAAGAAGGTTAAAAGTAAAGATTGACTCAAACAAATAAATAATTATAATTTGTATATAATTAATAAAAAATAATACATTTTCCGATTTGTTATTACATCTTGTGGGAAATTTTAAAATTTCATAAAATAAAATTTTGACATCAAAAGGACCAAACCAAAAAAAAAAACATATTAGACATGCATTGACGAGTATAGCACAACTCACAATTCTTATAACGGTACTAAACTTACACTTTACTCTCTTCTTCAGATAATGATTTACTATTTAAATTGATAATTATAATATTTTATATTAGTAAAATATATGAAATTATTTCCTTCAACTTACTCTTCTTCGAGTCTTAGGGTAACTGATGTAACTTCAAATATTCCAATGAATAAGCATAGCATTAAGGGTCCAAATATTGCTCCTTGCCATCCCATCCAATACATTCCACCAGCAATTGCCAAACCCGTTAAATATGGATGTCCTCCCCTTCAATTAAATATTTGAATTCAATTTTATAATTTTTTGAAAATTTTGTACATACCCCTTTATTTCAGAATGGACTTCTTGTTCTAGGTATGGCGGAACGAAAAACAATAATGCCATTAATAAAACTCCTGCATAAAATCTATCTTGAGCTAACCAAAGTTCCAAAAATGCTGGTAAACCACACCAATAACTTCCCAAGAACGGAGCTGCTGATAAAATAGCAGCTAAAGCAGATGGCAAAAACACTATTCTTGCACCAAATATGGTATGTATAAGCCAAGTGAACATTCCTTGAAATACCGAGCATTTTAATAGTGCTATAAGTACACCAGATATGGAATTCTCTAATGCGTCTGCTATTTTAGATCCCGATGATATACCAAAATAATTTCCTATTTGTAAAGGTGCGTATTTTTTACCACTTGTGCTTAATAAATAAAACAATGCAGTGAAAAATACAATCTGGAAATCAGTTTTGTTATTTAAATAACTACCAATTTGAAATTCTTTTGAAAACTTTAATATACCATATCTAAAAGAAATTCAACAAAAGCTTGTCCTCCCGAAAGTAAGATTGAAAATATTCCACCAGTCACAGCCATTATCATGGAAATATTTGTTCGAACAATATGCCAAATGGATTCGGCTACTTCCAGTATTGTATTTGTATTGCTTTTCGCCCATCCAAGAATACCCTGTTTAGCCACTGAAACTAGCTCTTTAAAATAGCCTTAGATAAAATAAATATAAATGCCCCTTGTTAGGTGTTAATAAGCATGCGATTAGAAAAGGACATTTTTTAACAGATGAGTATCAAATTAAAAATGTTTGTAATATAGATTGAATTTTTCAAAATAATGTGTAAACAACAAAACTTTGAATAGCTTTCATATAGAACCGAAGTCGAAAATAATTAATCTGAATAATATTAAACCTAATACCAAGTTGAAAACGAAAAAAATTGGTAATTTGACAAGTAGTAAAACTGTGTTTTTATAGTTTATGTTATGAAAATAATGTTTTAAGCAAAACACAAAGCAAAATTAAAATAAAAACCAAAACCAAAATTAATCTTACCTGGATTATCTACTATTTCTTCAAACGTAATTTTTAAAGCGTCGCTAGGTACTCTTGGACCGAAAGTTTCAGTTTTATTAAAATCAAACCAATATTGAATTAATCGATCCCAAACACTTAAAATTTGATTTTTCAATTTTTCGGCATGTACCGCATCTGCGTCTTTTAACAAATCGTTTATGTATTGTTCAATCCTCCGCCTGCCATATGTATGTGCATTATCTAGAGCATCATCAATAGAGTCTTGAATATTTTCTGGCAAAACATCTATTAAATCTGGTCTATTGGTTATAGTTTTATTGATTAAATCTTTTCCCAAATATGCCACTTCGATTGTTTCAGAATATATGTTAATACAAAAGAAAACGCTAACAAAAATTAATAATAGTATCATTAAAACTATCATAATAATTGATGTCACTAAATCGACGGATGATCTCAAGTAACTTCTAATTAATGTTTGTATCTTATAATTCAATTCTAACAAACCGGGTAAACAAAGTGGTAACACCGCACTATGATGCTCAAGACTCCACTCCTAAAAAATTAAAAGAACAATATTTAATCAAGTATCTGATTATTTAATTATTTAATTAGAACATTTAAACTTTATGCATGGCATAAGTTTAAAGTATAATAGGTACCTTTACACTTTTCCACAAAAATTCTATGTTTATTCTGCAAAAATCCCAAAGTCCAGATGCTGCTCCGATGTGGTAAAATAAATGCACAGCTATTGGAATAACCACCAACAAATACATCCAAATATTGCGGTACATGAATGTAAATAAACACGCATAAAAAAGATATTTAAAATAATAATCACTTATATGTTCTGTTTTATCCTCTTCAGTACTTGTTAATAAACTTTCACTCAATGAATTTTCTTCAGTAGTTGGTTCACTTGGGGTTAAATATACTTTTTCTATGGAGTATTTAAATATATTTTTATCTAATAGCGTCATAAACCGTTGTCTCATGCCGCCAGTAGTTTGGACGTATGGTTTTTCAGAATCTTGGGATTCTGGTTTTTGTATGTAGTAGATTATGGAAATTGCACAATATAACATTAGAAATAGAAAAACGGGAACTTGTAAAGCACCCAAAAAACTACAAATATAACCAATAAGTATAATCCAAATTAATTGCCCTATAATGCTAAAATATGTTGCGTTTTTTGATGACCAGAAAAATATTACAGTGGAAACATACAAGGAAACTAACAATATGACCTACAAATGAAAAAAAGTTTAATACAAAATTTAAAAAAACAAATGTTAATTTACTTGGTAAATTGATAAAAAGTTAATTAAACCTGAGAAAATCGAATGACTGTAAATTATCATTCTCCATATCCAACAAAAGAGATTCATAGGAGCATACAAAAAAAATATTTTTGTAAACATTACAAATAATAAACCTGCTGTTAAAATTTGCCAATGTTTTTTTAACCAATTAACTAATAATCGCCCCGAATATTCCATAGTTTGAATAGGAGCAAATGAAATAGCTACGAAAATATTTGTATCATTTTCTTCCAAACCTTCAAACCATTCATGTAATAGCGATGCCAGTTTTCTTTTGAAAGGAAAAAGAAAGGCACCTAAAATATGTTAAAATACATATCTAACATAATTAATATGCTTACATACAAAAATTTTTACCTATTAAAAATGCCCATATTAAAGGTCTTACAAATGGACCTAAAATAAAGCAAACTACTACGAAAGCACTTATACCCAATGCGATTAAAAAATTGTATAGAGCAGCTTTAAAAGATTCATTATTATCCGATTTCATACGTAATATTTTGTTGAGGACACTGTCAAAAGATCTATCACGTCGGATAGAATTTGTAGTTGGCCGATTATTCATTCTGATTTCAATATTTGTTTATTTTTATTAAATTGTAATTCTTCATTCAAACATTTTAATTCTTTAAACCTAAAATAAAATTTAATATTATTGATACAAAAATATGTATTTATAGAACTATGATGACATCCTCAATACGTATAAATATACGAAATATATATTAGATATATATATATGGATATACATACTTGTAACATGCATGCTCCGAAGGTCATTACAAAATAGGGCTTTTTCGTAACATAAATCTTACTCATAATAAAATTCTCCTATTTACAAACTATTTACATATATAAACATTATAATACACCAATTTTATCAGCAAAATACGCAATTTTTTTTTTTGATTTTCAGATTAAGGTGAACTTAACATGTACAAAACTTTACCAAAAATGTTTATAATTATTTACATGTCCCGTTGTTTTATTACTTCGTTTGAAATCGTTGCTAATAATCAGCTGATTGATGATAGGAAACAAAAAATAGTAGTGGCCTCACACGACTTTTCATTACGTATAAACGTCGATCATTATGATATTTAAGTATGTAGATGGAAAGTAAGAGTTTATGTTGGGAGCAGTCATTTTTTTTGTATGCTTAAAATTAGTAAATTTGTTCTACAGAAAAAAAAACACTCTGCTAAAGAAATTTCCTTGAACATCGTGGAAAAGTGCTGGAAATTTTTATTCTTAACAGTTTTCAATGGCAAAATAAACAAACACAGGCGAAACAAAATTCATGTAGAATATACATATATAAATGGGGCTAGCTAGAATGATGCTAAATTACCGATTAATCGACAGTTGTAAAGCAGCCTAAAATGCTGGCAGTTCTTTTTGACATCATCTTATATGAAATTTCTTTATTTCAAACTCTGTCAACAAGGGGAATGAAAATTATGTTTCTTTGTTTTAAAAATGGCGATGTAAACACAGGTAAACAAAAAAATTGTTGTTGTTTTCTTGTTAAAAATTGGTCTGAACAGGTATGAATCATACCAAATATTTAATTGTTGAATTATGTATAAATTGTTTGATGTTAACTTTGACATTTCTCAACAATAAATAGTATGTACTTAGTATATACAGTATCAAGAATTTCATACCATGTTATATTTGTCACTAGATTTGTTTGATTGATATTTGGGTAGCTAAAATATAAATCATAAAATACACGTGTTAATTAAAATAATCATTTTTGCTTAAACCAATCTTCTATACACTCTCAAAAAATAAAATGTCAGCTAATAAAAAAAAGAACTTAGAACAGGATAAAATGGATTCTGATAAAGAGTCTTCCAGTTCAGAAGACGATGGTCCACATCCAGATGCCTATAAAGGAAACGAGGTAAAGTAATGGAAATATTTTGATATACGTAGATTTAAAATTGTTATTGTACAATGAATCAAAAAAAAATTCCAATGTTCTAGGAAATACAAGTAGATTTCGAAGGAAGAAACCCTCTCGACATTGACTTTCATGGTATACGGCAGTTATTGCAACAATTGTTTCTTAAAGCTCATATAAATCTTTCACAGCTTTCAGAAATTATTATAGGTAGGTACTATTAACAGAAATTTTAATGTCTTTGAAAAATATAAAGATATAATTGAGTTAAATTGAATAGTGCTTTCATCTTATTTTAGAACAAAATTATATTGGGAGTGTTGTTATACAAAGCGAAATTGATGAAGAGGAAGATGATGAACTATGTGATTCAAATGTAATATTTGGTATTACATCAGTAGTAAATATGATGTCCAAAAGAAGTTCAAAATGTATTGAAGAATTGCACGAATTCATTGTGGAAAAGGCAGAAAAAAATGCTTCGGAAGATACCTTTGAACAATTTAAAACAATTTTAAATAATGTCGACCAACATGTAGGATTTCTGATTAATGAGAGATTTGTAAATATTCCTGCACAAATTTCAGTTCCATTGCTAGAAAATTTATATAGAGAAATTAAGCGTGCTAAAGAAAAACATATGCCGTATGATTTTAAATATTACATGATAATCGTGAAATTCTATAGGAAAAAAGGTAAAAAAAATAAACCTACAGAGGACTTTTATTCAAATCAAGAGGAAGAAATCATATGCAAAGAAGCTCAATTTAGTTTTGAATATTCTGTAGAGCATGAGGCAGACTCTGGCATGTCGGGTGATTGGTTAGAAGGTGATAGTACAATGTTGCCATTCAGAAAAGTAGTTTTATTTGAATCAAGCAGATTATCTGATTTAATATTGACCATAAAGGATTATATAAATGAATAATTTTAAGATTTATATTTTAATGTTTTAAGTATTTTCTATTCGTTTGATATTAAGTAAGTTAGTCGTTATAATACAAAACTAATTGTGTGTGATTGTTTTGGAAGCTTCCTAAACTTCGCAAATAATGGAAATTGTTACTTTCGAAATGTATTGGGAAGTACTCTGTTTTATTTTTGATAAATATAAAGACGACAAATTTCTAACCAAAATATAACGCTTATTGCCTTTAAAAGATCTAGATATTTCTAAAATCCAGACATGGACATCGTAGACTCACATTGTGAAAAATCTAAATAAACAATTCGCCTTTATGATTTCCTATTCCTATCTGTCTTTACAAAATATATGTACATCTACGTATAACTGAAAGTCATATGTTTTTGACAATCTTGTTAAATGATTATTTATTTGAAATGGAGTAATTAACAGATTTTGTGGATAAGATTCAAATGTGTATAAGAAAATAAGAAATGAAAATCCGAATCAATATCGGAACTGAACTCATTCGATTTAAGGTCCAAAATCCAAAATTCGTTTGAAAGTTGAAAAAAATTCATTTATACTCGTACTTAATAAAACAAATTAGCAGCTAAATTAAAATAATTACTGACACAAAACAACGGATGAAATCACGGCTGACAGATTTTTTGTAATGTAAAGGAGGGAATACATATTATTATCTTAAATAGAATACAATGAGACATGAGAAAATTACGCAAAAAAACAGATGCAAGATGATAGAAAACATCATTTGTCTAAAAATTTTAGCATGTGTCCCTTTAAAAACAATTTTATTAAACTTCAAAAAAAAAAAGATATGTATTTTGTTTTAGTTCAGACTGATTTAAACCTTTGCCGCTAAAACCTTTCACATTTTGTTAACATTTCAAGTTTCACTAAACATTTAAAAAACAATATTAACTAATGGATTTTAGCTTCAAAAACTGTCATTTTAAATTTGACATAATAAGCTCTATGAAATCGGAAATTTATTTCTCAAGTACGAAGAACACGATTGAGATTTTATATTATGCTCTCTTGATTGTAAAAAGAACACTAGTATCTATCTAATACAATCGGAAACTTCACAGAATTGTTCTCGAAATTTTAATTGACAAATTTTTTGTTTATCATATTGGACATTGAACTGAAACTATTTTTTTTTATTTGAAATAACAATAAAAACATATATTATGCTATTTATCCATTATTCAATTTAGTTTTTGCATATTGTAAACATAGCAAGTTGGTGGACTAATTGATAATTGATCTGAAGATGTTTAATCTGTAAAAGCAAACATAAAGATTTTAATGTAGTTTTGAAAAAGCTTGCATTAAGTTTTTATGTCAGTGCATATGTTGACCAACTACAAAAGGAAACTCTTTCGATTTTTCGTTTATTATTTCATATATTTGTCTTAAGATCTTTTTATAAGCATGACAACTCTTTTAAAAAATTCGTTTTTTTGGTTTATTATTTAAGGCAGCAGTAAGAAAAGTTTCTAATGTTATCATGTACATACATATATGAATAACTGACTTCTATATTTTTAAAGAAGCTTTTTAAATTTGCATTTATTACTTTTTTGATATAAAAATTAAAATTTCAATTAAAAAATTAGCAAATCTCTTATTTAAATACACCAACCTTCAATTAAGATTATGATTTTTAATTTTTGAAAGCAATAATTTTAGATAAAACATAATGAGCTCTATGAAATCGAAAATCTTACTCTTTTGAAATTTTCGCAAAGTGTGTATGTCAAATTTTGCAAATGCAGATAATTTTGAATCAAATACATTTTAACGTACATATTTAATAAAAACGTGAGAGAATTCAAATTGAAATAAAAACGTCTTTTTCTTTATTATAATAACTATTATACGAAATTGCAAAAGAAGACATTTTCAACGTTTATAAGTTTGATTGAGGGACTCAGAAAGTTCATGTTTTGTGATTCTCATTGTAGAGTTGTTATTTCATTTTCGTACAAAGAAAAATTAAGCATTATTCCTTTAAAATTGCGTCTAAAAAGTTAATAAATTTTGGAAAAACAAAAAAATCTAAACAGCATAAAATAAATTGCTTTTTGATATACAACATTAATTAAAAAATTTATTTTAACAAAACTAAAATTAAATTTAATAAAACAACAAAAAGTAATGTGCATTGCAGTATTTGTATAAAACCAAAAAATTAAGGGGTTAAAAATTTCCCGTAGATGTCAGTTTATTCATTTTAATGTCAAAATTCTCCAAAGACCATTCGGCTTTTGATTTTATACAAACACAATTTATTATTTTCGTAGGTTAAAGTACATACAAAAATACATAAGTACATATCTATACAAACAAGGCTATATAGTTATTTCATCGCAAAAGTAGAATTATAATTCTTGGATCGTACGTTAATATTAACATTACATACTGTCGGGTTGTATAAAAGAAAACGCTAGTTATTTTCAGTTTTAATGGATATTCTTGAATAATAGTTAATATTTTAATTTTCAAAATATATTTTAAGTTAATAAAGTTAAAAATAACTAAGTAAACAGTAATAATTAAAAAAAAAATCAATAGATTTTTTAATTTCTACAAAATTTTTTTAAAATATACAGAGTGACGGCACTGACGCACAATTTTGTGTACACACAAATGTAGGAAATACAACAATAAAAGTACATAAAACAAAAAGCTTCTCTTTTCTGTCTCTTTCAAACAAATACTTTTTACCTAACTACAAGAGACAACTAGTTGAGTTTATAAAAAGTAGTTTTATACGATAATACAAAAGATTACGAATTATTTTGCGAATGTTTTTTACTTCGTTTGTATTGTGTGTATAGTTCCCATTGAAAGAAGGTTTTTTTTTATATTCCTGTACTTATGGAGCATATTCAGGTAAGTTATTTAATGATTTTGCAATTATAAATTTTGAAAAATACATAAATAAATCACGATGATATTCTTAAACAATTTGTTAAATTATTGCATCATTAATAAATTATTAGTTTATAAGTGAAATTTTATAAAAATAAAACAAGTAACCCGAGTAAAATGTAGTTTTTCAAGGTTTGCATCTCTTACGTTAAAGAATAAGTTGTGTTGTGGTGCAAGCGGCAAATGGCCACCGAAATTATAACTTTTTTTTTTTTTTTTTTTTTAATAAAATAAAGGATTTATACAAATTGAAAATATTAATAGATTTTGTTATAATTATAATAAAATTTTCAAATCCAATCAGAATTAAAAATATTTAATTGTTTCTGAAATTAAAAGTAGAAAAAAGAAACCAAAACAAGATAAGCATTTTTTCACAAACACAAAATATGGCGGACAATAACATCGAAAATTTTTTTAGAATTTAAATTTAGACATTTATTTATTTTATATATTGGAAATCATTTAGGAAATTTTTAATTTTCAAATAATAAAAAAACTTAAACGTAACTTTTAAGACAATTTGTAATAAGTTTTTCAGTAATTTTTTTTTTTTTTTTTGTTGTGGAGTTAGGTTTTTTTTTGTATATACATATATAATGTACATATTTTTGGTATATACATGTATATATACATATTATAAAACATCGCAAAGTAATAAATTGCGCCTTACAATTTTCGATATTTTCATGTCATTTTCTATGTATTTGTCTGTCATTAAATTCCTATCTAATAAATACCAACATATAAAGGTGCATTTTCATAATTGCAGAAGCACGTGAAATTTGTTTTAATAATTTTTAAAACAAAAAATTATTAATATTCGAAAGGAAATTAAAGACACCATTTCTAAATTTCTTTATTTTTGAAATACATGCATATTTTTGTAATTCTAATATTTATTTTATTAAAGTAAATATTTTGATAGTGAATGATAATGAAAAGAAATTAATATTCCTGGAAATTTAAGTAGCTAGTGTTCACGTCTTACCATATAAATACGTAATCTGTATTGATTAAGTAATTGAAATATAATTAAGATACAACAAAAATGATGTATAACTAATAACTTATTGAATTGAAAACCTAAAAATGTACACAATCGTGTTTATTATCTGGCTTTACGCTGTTAAATTTTATTAATTTGTATAACTTTAATTTTCAAATGTTTCACAAGTTGTAAGTAAATCTTGAATCATACTTATAATTGATAGGTTTTACATACACCTACCCCATTATATTCTCCTAGAATAACATTGCCCCATTTAAAAAATTTAAAAACAAGGTTCGAGTTTACAAATGTTTTATATTGAATTAGATAATTCGTGTTTTGAGATGACCAATGAAAATATTAATCAAATCAATTTATTGTATAGGAAAACTATAAAAAAAATACAAAACTGATTGTACAATTAGTAAAATTAAAGGTAGTATAATATTTTTGATAACTGTTAATAAAAATATTATTAAGAATTTTTATCTAAGAATAATAAAAACGCATTTCATTTTTGCAAAATTATCTCATTTTAGGCATCTTTTGCTATTTTGGGGGATACTATATAATGAATGAAATGAAATGCGATATGCAGATATTTAATACTTACATATTTTAATATAATTTTTGTAATTACTTATGCTCAACATAATTTTGAACGGGTAACTAAAGACTATTGCACCTGTATTCGGATTGTAGCATTCGGATTTTTTTGTAAACAAGTCATTAGGAAAAAGAATTTATGATTGTATTTTCATTTTTAAGTTTTTTTTCAGTTTTATTACTTGAAATTTTTATTAATCGTGTAACTAATTCAGGTTTATAATTTTAAAGCATGATTTATATATATATATATTTTACGGCTTTGTTACAAAAATTACATCATTGAATGCAGTTACTGTAAGGAATGCATTTTGATATAAATTTTTGATTAAGTTAGTTGAATACCAAATATCACTTTTCCTTAACGTAAGAATGTAGTGATTTTTCTTACAGAAATTCGACATTTTAATGTTTTTTGTTTTTGTGTAAGAAATATACAAACGGTCTCTCTTGGATTATACCCGACTTACACAAAGCTTAAGTTTTAATTAAGTAAGAGTCATTTTGCATTGGCAATTGCTAAATGTATGAATCACAGGAAAGGAAAAATTTTTTTGTACATTCAAAACACGCCCATAAATATTTTTTTTGAGAAGAATCTTTTATATTTTACCATGTGAAACTTATCTTATATATGTTTTAATAGCCCTTAATAAATGCTCTTCAATTGGCAAGTTGTTAAGTGATACAATATTGCACTATTTGTCATGCGAAGAGGCAAATTATAAACTAGGTCATTCTTTTCACGAACTTTGTGAAAAAATCAAAAGCACATCTGAGTCTTTCTCGTATAAGCACTTTCTTTTAAGTGGAAAGAAATACCTAAGATGACAAACTAAACTCATGAATAAGAAAAAGTTGACAGGTATATCACGAGTTTTTTTTTTCAACTTCAACCGAGTAAGATCTGGTTTAAACATATTTTTATACAGTAGGTGTTAAAATAAATAGGCATATCGAAATTTACAAATTTTTTGTTGTTTATGTTAGGGCTAGGTTGAGCAAGTTCCCATATAAGAACTCTTACATTGAGAAATTCCAAAAGTTGATTACAAAAGTTTGTTTAATCTAAAAAATTTTAAATTTTGTTTTGTATTAAAAAAATATGTTGTTCAAATTTATTTTTAAATTTTGTAATCATATACAATAAAATTGTAACCAAAAAAATAGATATTATATCTTACTTGCATTCTTAGTACAAAAATTTTGTAACAGATGTCGCTAAAAAATAAGTTTTGAATTTCTAATTAGTTGAGTACGGGTTTTTTTGTATTTTCAAGGTTTGCCCTTTTAAGTCCAAAAATATATTTAGAAACTGGAATTTGAAAATTTGAGCATTCCGATATTTTTGTTATGGACTTAGGAATTCTCAATTTTTATTCGATAGTATTGCAAAAGTTAAAGTAAATTTAATCCTGTTATCAAAGCAATATGGAGTTTTAAAAAAATTATATACATAAATAAAATATATAAAAGGTTCATTGATTTTCCGCGAGTTGTTTAAATTTATTTAGTAGCACAATGAATAGGAAAAATTATGAAAACCATTGCACAAATTCATAATTTTGCAGTCATTGCATTCTAGCAACATTATTGCAGAATGGTCTTGTAACTTTTTTTAAAAATATTCAATTGTATAACTTTCATTAAATTGAAGTAACAATAAATTTTCATTTTTTAATACACAACCACAAAAATTTGTTCACATAATTAAAAGATAATTTTAAGGTAAATTCCCAAAATTGGGATTACTTAGCTAAGTAAAGAATTTAGTTTTTTATTTGTACATATTTTTAGTGCTTACAGTATGGAAAAGTGATTCTGTTTTTATTTGCAAAAAAAAGAAATATTTATTGTAACCAAACTGTTTTCCTTTTTATCGACTTTTCATTGTATGCAATGCGCATACAATAATGGAGGTTATGTGATCACACCAAATTTCGCATATCGAGTTTTCGGTGGAAACGTACTTCTCAATAGTTGGGAAGGGTAAATAATCTATATTTAGGAAGATGTAGTTAGTCTGAGTGTGCACGTGTGTATATCAAATTTAGCTGAACTTGATCAATTTACGAGATACGTATGTTAGGCACTCGGGAACTAGGACTTTTTACAGGACGGTTTTAAATTTTCCATCATTTTATATAAAATATTAAACATAATAACTTGAAATATCTATGTATAAGCTTCGATCAACAATACCTTCCATCTAACTTTTGGAAGAAACTGAACGTTTACTGCAGATCAAATATACGTTTTTGCTCATATAAAGAGAAATTAAATATATGCATGAATTTAGGGTGTTAAAACAATGAATTTATAAAACTTTTGGGAATATCAGGGCTTGGAAACCGAACTAGGGGTCGATTTTTACATGTTTTAACATATCTAAGGAACTAATTGACGGAATTTGTCGAAATTTAATATCTGAGTTCAGTTTGCTATGGGAAATTATTGAAGAGCTTTTCGGAGCATTCGGATGGCATAAAGTGAAAGTATACTACGGCAAGCTGGTCATTACCTAGTTAGCTCAATGACCTAAAGTGGAAGATCGTAATGCTCCCAATTGGAATAAGTTAAAAAAAGTGAAACTTTACTAAGAGCCAAATTCACATTTGTATAGGTAAAGTATAGGTCTTACTAGTGTTCTTAAAATTTGAAAGAAGTATTTAAAAGTTATTTTCATAATTTTATGCAGCATTTGTGTAATGTCTTGCGCATTAAATTTGTTATGTGCTGGTCACATCGGATTTTTAAAAATTGTTCGGAATTCACAATAATCATCTAGATAGACTTAAATAGTAAATTTCTAAATAACGTAATTCTAAAATTCATTTAAACAGCGAAACTGATATGGGGACACTTTTATGAAAAATAGTACTTTGCTATCAGTTCAAATGAGTAAAAATTTAAAATCAAAAATTACAATTAATAAAATTTTGATAATTATTATAATTATAAACTTTTTTTTTAGGAAAAATTTGATAACTAGGAATTTTTAAAATTCGGTCATCTGTAAAAAATTCTATCATGGGTTTGAAATAGCAGACAAGAAATAGACTGATTGATTACGTTATGTTGATATTTATTATTTAAAAAAAAAAGCAATTTGTCACATGTTGATGTGCCTTGGTTAAGGATGTCAGCGCTTATTGATTGCTTGCAAAATTCAAGCATACAGAAGATTTTGTAGGATACTGAATTTTAGAATTTTTAAGCTTACATTTTTAGCCTTATTAAATTTTTTAGTAAATTTAGATTATAGATCTTATCACATACATTATAGAAAATGCATTGGCTATATTTGATTAGTGTTAATAAAAATTTTAATCGGTTTATTATCAAATTGTAAATAATTACGAAA